TGGTGGTGACAAACACTGTCCCTCATGAGGTCCAGAAGCTGCAGTGTCCCAAGATAAAGACTGTGGATATCAGTTTGATTCTTTCTGAAGCAATTCGGAGAATCCACAATGGAGAGTCCATGGCCTACCTTTTCCGAAACATCACAGTGGATGACTAGCTTTCATGGTGGCCCTGGCCCTGGAACTCCCAAGGAAAACATACCAAGCAGTGCCGGCAGCTGTGAACACAGTGTGTCCTTGCAGGGAGGACAGGACGTGGTGTGGAGTTAGCTAGTCTCTCCAAGATCTGTGGAAAAGGGGCCTTATGTAGTGGAGACGGAACTAGTAGATAACATAACACTGCCTTAAACGTGCAGTGTCAGCCCTATTCCGTAAGTGGATGACAGCCGCTCTCTGAGGAGTCTCCTTGATACTGAAGAGGAGTTCAAGGCGGATGAAGTCTTAGCTCTGTAGTGTTCCTTCAGTTGTCTCAGCTTTGGGGCGCAGTGTGACTTTGACCTTGGTCGGAAGCTGAGTCCCTGGCATCTTCTCTCTCCAGTTCTCTCCTTAGTCAAGTTTGCAGAAGCCTTTTTTAGAGAATCCTATCTTTTTTTCAGAATCTGCTGTGCCTGCTGCCCCTGAACAGTGGAGCACTGTGTCACTGCTCCTCTCCAGATGTTAGGTTTGAGAGGAGCAGCCTGCCCCTGGGTATCTGCGTTGCTAAGTTGCAAATAAAAGAATTTATTGTCTCACTGGTCTTGTCCCTGCTCTGCAGAGCTCCCTGTTTCCTGCCTGGGTGGTGACTCACTTCTGTCCCGACTGTTCAGATGACAGTGGATACAAAATGAGGGGTGTTGAGAGTCCAGAGCCTAGAGGTATCTCCCTCTACAGATTCCATCTCCTTCCTAAGCCTTGAAGTTGAATCCTTGTTAAAATCTAAACGAGAAATAGAATGAACTGTCTTTCCTTTGTGATAGATGATGCCCCATAGATTGTGTTCTTAGGACTGCCATGGCCCTGCTGCCCTGCCTTCTAAACTGCATCACTACTCCAAGTTCCTGTCACCTTTGTCAGGAGGCCTCATTGCAAGCTCCTACAGTTTGTCATGCCTTCAAGCTGCTCCAGCCCAGGACCTTGTCACAGGAAGGAGGACATGGCTGGGAAATGAGCTGGAATTGCTAATTGGCTCTGTGAGGCCTCAGGGAAGATTCTTTTATTTGTACAATTGTATTTCTGTGCAGGAAAGTTTCCTTGACTTTATCCCTTTCCTAATGACAAAGTCCCCAACCCACATTTACTTTTTTAAGCACAAATAAGTTCCCTTCTTTTGAGCAAAGGACAGTCATTAAAGTAATTAGCATGGAGGTAGGGAAGAGCCAGTGGGCTGCTGGGGGGAGACCTGGCTCTTACTAGTCAAGGGTAGGCAGATGATGGCCCCTTCCAGGCCTCTGCCTTCAGTTGTGAAACAGGAGACTTGGGGTTAAAAACTAAGGTCCTTTTTGAGTCAAATTCCACTTCTATCTCTAGTTAACATTTTTTTCTTTCCCTGTATCCAATGGTAGAGATTTCCAAATCTTATTTAGCAAAGGTAATTAGTAAAATAGATCATAGTTTCTAGAACTAGAAAATGCTACTCTGACCCTTGGTGTGTGTGTGTTAGTCAGGTTTTGTTGTTGTTTTGTTTTGGGTACTAGGGATTGAACCTGGGGGGCACTTAACCATTGAGCCACATCAGCCCTATTTTGTATTTTATTTAGAGACAGGGTCTCACTGAGTTGCTTAGTGCCTCACTGTTGCTGAGGCTGGCTTTGAACTTGCAATCCTCTTGTCTCAGCCTCCCAAGCAGCTGGGATTACAGGCATGCACCATCTTGCTCGACTGTTAGTTTTAATGTGCCTTAGCAAGATACTGAGAGTAGAGGTGTAGCTTGTGGTAGAGCACTTGCCTGACATGTAGGAGAGTTCAGGTTCAATCCCTACCACTAGAGAGAAAAAAGATACTAAGCCTCAGGGGCTTAACAGTGAGCTTTTGAGGACACTTCAATTCTGATTATAGCTAGTGTAATTGTATCTGTTAACATTCTGGAAAATTCCTGAAGTTGCCGATAAGCATGTGGACCTACTGGTCCCACTGTGCACCACAACCCCCGGTGCAGCCCACACTTGTTCCTAAGGCTTTAACTTTGTGATCTGGCCTTAAGTTTTCAAGGTAACAATGTAAATGTACAAAAGATTACAAAGAGATTCTTAGGTTTGTCAATCATTGGGGGCTGGGCTGTTCGCTAGATACTGGGAACATGGGGGTGCTGAAATTGTTCAAAAACTGTCAACCCAGACTAACTGCAAATTTGAGTTGGTACAGTTGAAGGATGTGGTGTACACACTGCCATAGGCTTCCTTTAGCCTTACTGCAGGTAAAATCTTGTCTTCTGGAAGAAACTGGCATGGGATTTGCGTCAGATTTGCCTGGTCCTAATGAACTTGTGGTGCTGGCACTTGACCAGATGAAGCTTGTCTTGAGATGTTAAGCGGCAGAGAAAGTCTGCCACCTGGCGGATAACTGGAACCGCCTGAGCAGTGGGTAATTTCCAGGTCGCCTTTTGGTTTCACAAAATGGAACTGCCCCCACAGGGCGGCTCGGATTGCATCCTGTGGCCCTACCCTGTGCGGTGGAACGGCGATTGGTGGTACAAAGCGTGGTGCTACTATTCCCTTTAAATCTTTCGGGTTTTAACGATCCCTCAAGAACAAGTGGGGGGCTTTTCTAGGTTAGGGGGATGGACAGAGCCTAATTGAGCCTTAGGCCACCCCACACCCCGTCCCCAGACTTGGTGTCATACACATGGCTTGGCGCCGCCCACGCACCTTTCCTCGGAGCACTTACTGGGAATAAAAAATAGTGGTGTTTGGGGTGTGCGAATGCTGCCTTCCTGTGGGCTCCCCCTTGGGCTTGGGGGAGTCTGAGCAGCACCCCCCCCCCCCCAGACCTCGGGCCTGTTCTTACAGGGAACCCTCCGGCGCGTGGAGGGGGCGTGGGGCCGCGGAGAACCAGGCGCCCCGCGTTCCTAACGGCCGCCGCTGGCCTGGGCCAAGCGAGGGAGCCGAGCGGGCTGGAGCTTGGAGGCCGAGACCCGACAGGGAGGGCCTCCGGCCTCACCCCGCCCAGAGGCGGTGGGGCGCGGACTGTGGGAGGCCAGGTGCGCACCTTTGACTGCAGGGGCGGCCCAGGCGCCTTGCAGGACCGAAAAGTCCCTGGAGGCGAGGCGAGCAGTGAGGGGACTCAGGTCGCCCACACCCACGTACCCGCGCCCCGCAGGACGCACGATGCCACCCGCAATTCCAGCGACCAAGGTCTCCCTCCGGGAGTTGGCCGACCTGGCCATCGGCACCCCGGAGGTGGGCGCGGTCAACTTCACCGTCCTGCACACGCTCATCTTGGCCATACTCAAGAACCTCGGCATCCTAGAGACTCTTATCGACCTCCAGACCTTGTCCCCGGAGGCAGGCCGCTCACTTGAGTCCCTCCGGGGCTCCTTTGGCACTCAGTTCCCGCCTGGGTCCAAAGAGAAACGCAGAGGTATGAGCAGGTCCTTCTCCCTGGCGCTGGAGAACCAGGTGCAGGACCTCACCAAGCAGCTCAAGACCATGGACGGCAGGGTGGAGGACATCACCACCCACTTGCAGTTCATCACTTCCAAGGTCAGCGCACAACAGTTGGCCATCCCAGAGTGGCTGGAGGAGATGGACATGCCAACCTTGGACACAGCTCAGATAAGGTCTGGGAAGGTCCTGAAGGACACCGTGGGAGGCAGCACCCCCAAGGTCAGTGTGCAGACGTTGCAGACCCTCTGTCCCTCCAGACTGCCCTCAGCCTGTGGGAGCTAAGCCCCTGAGCTGCCACAGAGAGGGAGAGGGCCAATCCAGGGTCACCAGGCCTGGGTGCAGCTTGGTCCCACCAGACCCATGCTCTTCCTTGCAGGTCATGCGCGTGCTCCAGGATGTGGTGGAAGATGTGAAGAACCTGAAAGAAGCCTACAAAATGGTGTCTCCGGAGTTTAGGCCTCAGGTGAATGTGCTTGGGGACTACACCTTAGAGCAGAGTGGCCTCTTCCCCAGTTCTTCCTCCCTTAGCCTTGTTTCCGGAGACCACCCACCCTTTATCAGGCACCCACAGTCTCTGGACTGACCCAGCAGGGACAACATCTCAACTATTCTTAGAGCCTATTTCCCTTGAATAAAACCATGGTGCACACATGTAATCCCAGTAACTCGGGAGGCTGAGGCAGTTCAAAGCCAGCTGAACAATTTAGTGAGACAGAACGTCCCTGGGTTCCATCCCCAGTATTGCTAAATTAATTGATATTAAATAATCAGGTGGCAGGCATTGAAGACCAAAGGCCAGTGCACAGAAGGGGAGGTGGGAGGAGGAATTAGACAACAATGTCTTGGTTACAGACAGGAGCTGCAGCATGTGGGATCAGTTTCAGCTGGACTTCCAGGTTTCTGGAGGGTGAAGTATACGTAAATGCTTCAGCATAGCCTATATCTGATGCACGGTAGGAAACACCCAGCAATTCCGACAAAGGTGATAACAGATACATGCTCTTATTTCAAGGCATGTGTCAGGTTGTGGATAGTGGACCTGGAGAGAAGGAGGAGCAGTTAGGAAGAAAGCCTGGGGGAGACTGGAAGAGAAATGGGAAGGCCAGAAAGGCTGGAGGAAGCCAAGCCCCCAGGGCTGCCTGGCATCGCTGCCATCCTACACACCAGCACCCGCCCGGGGAGCCCAGCACACTCATCTTTGCTTTAAGAACTATCTGCTCTTCTTTCACATTTTTGATTGGTACATTATGGTTGTACATAATGGGGTTTGCTGTTATATACTCATACATGCACACAATGTAACAATATAATTTGGCCAATTTCCCCATTATTTCCCCTTTCCCTCCCCTCCTTCCTCTCTCTCTGCTTTTTAAACTTTCAAATCCAGTGTGTTTGTTTCTTTTTGTTTTGATCCTGGAGGTGGCACAAGTTATATGGTGCAACTTACGCTTTAGCAGTTGGCTTGGATTCTCTTGAGGATTCTTCTCAGCCAGCATACGCCGCCGAGGTTTCTGGTCCTTGCTCCTTGTGAGGCAAGGTGGACCTCTTGCTGCAGTGCTGGAAGGCTTTGATAGAGGGTCGCATGAGATGAACCAGGATCAATGGTTCCCTCCCCTGCACTGGCACTAACTCTTGGCATGATGTCTCACAGTACCACCCTCAGTGCTGTCTACTTCCCTTCCTCTGTTGGTTGGGGAAAGACCTGGAAGCTTGGCCTTACTGACCAGGCAAAAAATCAGGTAGAAACTAGAAACCCTCTTTTGTCCTAAGAGCCACACACACCTCCTTCCCTCTTTTCCCTCATTCCGAGTCGCGTGAATGTGTGTGAGTGTGTCTGTGTGTGCATGTGTGTGCACACACATAGGGGTGCCAGGAGTTCAGGGGTGCTCCTTCTCTGAACTCTATCTCCAGGAAGTCCTCCACCGAATTGAAGACCTTGAGAAGCAAATCAAAGATCAAGATGAAGTCCTGGTAATATGAGCAAGCTCTGGGGAAAAGGCTCTCTGGGCTGGGGGGCTGTCCTCAGCCTGGCTTCACTCTAGGACTGGGCCCCACTCCCCCAGAGCAGGGTGGTGCCCCTGGATTGAGGGGGAAATCCTTTCCATCCCTGACCATCAATTGGGAACTCACAAGGGACAAAGAACTGGCTGCCCAAGACTGGTTGGTCACTTGAAGGATGGTGAATTCTTCCTGGGGCTAGGGCTGTGGATGAACCCACACATCCTGTTCCTAAGCAGTCCGTCCTACGATTAAACCTGGGGTAATGTGTGTAAGTGTACTGTTGTTATTGTCAGAAACAAATAAACTGGACACTGGGTTCCGTTCCTGGTGCAGAAGAAGCCACCATGGTCACCTGGGAAGAGCTGGAGCAAGCCATCGCTGACGGCTGGAAAGGCTCACAAATGGTGAAAAACTGGGGTCCCTGGTGGTGGTCTTGGGTGTGGCTTCCCAGAATCTCTCTTTGTACCAAGAATGGGACTCTGCCGTGTGCATGTCTATCCTTTATTTCACAAGTTCCATATTATAGACAAATATTTTCCCCAATTTTATAAGGAGTGCTCCCAGGTGACATATGTGTGAAGAGCGTAAATTCCTAGAAATGGAAATGTGCCTTTGAGTTTGGCTGGCTATTGCCAGATTGTCTTCCATGGGTGTTGTTCCAGCCTAGATTCCCACAAGCGGCATAGGAGAGAACTTATTTCATGACACCCCCACCCCGACCCCATGTGTCAGTCCTCGATGTTTGGAACTTTGCCAATGGGTTAGGTGGAAACAGTATCCACCTGATTGTTTTCATAGCTTTTGTAGTTTTTTGAGCTGTCCTGAAATGCACAAGTCCCTTCACTGTTCATGGAACAGGGTGACCAACCCTGGAAATAATACCCTTGCAGGAGGCCCCTTGCTGATGGTGACTTCTGCATATGGGCATGTGGCCATCTGTTCTGGTTCTATGCACGGGAAGACCAAATCATTTTCAAACCCTCAACCTTTCTTCACCTGGATATTTTCAAACAGCCCCCGCAGACCAGGATCAGCTACTCCTTTGGTCTCCATGCTCTCTGTCCCCCAACTCTGCAAGTGGTCTCCTCAAACCAGATCCCCTGAGGTACCCACAGAAGTGAGTGAAGCAGGAGCCTTTTGGCGCCTCCCAGTGGCCACCTAGGGAATACCAAATACCATCTGGATGCCCCAGGCATCCTGCCAATCTCCAAGACTGTTTTCTGAGTTCCTTGCCCATCCAAAGAGGAAACAGCTTCAGAAAGAGTTGCCAGAGGGAGCTGAGAATGTGGCTCTGTTGTGGAGCAGTTTCCTGGTATGCATGAGGTCCTGGGTTTTATCCCCAGCACCAAAAAAAAAGTAAATGGAGTTCCTTGGAAAAAGGTGGCTTTTTAAAAATTTTTTTACTTTAAAGAAACTGTCTCAAAAATTTAAAAAGGACCAGAAATGTAGCCCAGTAGTAGAGCCCCTGGGCTCAATCCCCAGTACCACAAAGAAATAAAGTTGAAGCTTTATCACACGGGTACCACTACCATGTTGCTTTAGCAAGCAACACATTTCCTCAGGGTAACAGCAGAGGTCACCCCCAAGACTTAAACATAATTATACACCTTCAGAGATTTTTACTTTTTCAGAGACAAGGAAACATCCATTTTTGTCTTGTTTTGTTACTACAGATTGAACCTAAGGGCACTTAACCACTGATCCACATCTCCAATACCACTCCCCACCCCTTTTTTTGAGACAGAGTCTCACTAAATTGCTGAGGCTTGAACTTGTGATCCTCCTGCCTCAGCATCTTGAGTTGCTGGGATCACAGGCATGTCCCACTGTACCCAGCCAAGAATATATTGTAATGGCAGCTGGGCAGTTCTTCATGACTTCGTGTACCACAGGATGATGGTGATGATAAGGTGATGCTCCTCCTCCACTTCCTACTTTTTTCTTCATGATAAGAAAGAATAAGAGTTACTGGGCTGGGTGTGGTGGTGCACACCTGTAATCCCAGCAACTTGGGAGGCCAAGGCAGAAGGATCACAATTTTGAGGCCAGCCTCAGCAATTTAGTGAGGACCTAAGCAATTTAGTGAGATCCTAGTGCTTCAGTGTCGCAATTTCAATACCCAGTGACAAAAAAAAAAAAATCTTATTGAAACTAGGAAAATCCAACCCCAGAGCATAGTCGATACCTGCTTAATAAAGGTCTGAACGTATAGTCAGTGCAGAGCCCTTGCCTGGCATATGCAAGGCCCTGGATGTGACCCAGCACCACAAAACCAAATAAAACAACCTGTTTTTAAGATGAGACCAAGCTTCTTCAGTTTCCTGTAACCAAGACAATAAATCCAGATGACAGTGAGCTCAATCCTGAGGGAGGGGTCACAATTGTTTGATCATCTTCCAGCCACCCTTTTACTAGGTCCAACGACCTGGAGCCAAGTGCTTCCTTGCAGAAATGGTATGCCCGAGGTAAGGACGTCTTGTCTGTGAAGCTCTGGTGGCCTGACAGGCTGAATAAAGCAGAAAGCAAAAACAGGGAGTCATGTTCACAGCCTCTGTGAAGGACAAGGCCACAGTTTAACACCATGGACAAGTTTAAAATGGCCAGAAATGACATTGTTCTTTCTAATCATCTTGAGAAATCCAAAGTCCAAATTTCCCAGGTGCTTGAAGGCAAAAACTGGAAGGCAGGACAGACAAAGGTGGGCACTGGGGCTGGGTGGGACTTTGCCTTCCAGGACTTGCCAGATATGAGCTACTAGATTGTAAAGTAATATTTCCACGTTAACAGAGTCAAGATCTTGAGTAAAACCACCTATTATGTATTTTGAGAATATTGAGGATTTGGGAGCTTATAAATGGGTGTAGTTGGAAGTGTGATTCCTGAAGCAGGGAATTAGGTGAGGAAATGTTTACTTTGGACCAATGTTTCGAGTCAAATTGTATTTATCCTAAGTCCATTCTTCTCTGTCCACCTGCTGGGTTGGGATCAACATTTGGATATCTCCAGCTTTGGGACCCAAAGCCCAGTGGAGGAATTCAGAAAGGTACTTCATAAAATTAACTTGATCTTAACTGGGCAAAATGAATACATCTGATGTCATGGCACCTCCCAGGAGAACAGAAATAAGAATTTTGTATTGTACTGCGGTCACGGAAATAGCAGGTTGTTGGGGCTGGAGTCTTTGTTAAAACAGTCAGGATGCAGCCCCAGTGTGGGAGGGACGGCTAGACACATTTAGGCTTGGGGAGCGTCACACATCCTAATTGCTCAGGAGCCCCCAGCCTAATAGGTGAACAGAGAAAGAGGGCTCTGTAGAAATGTATCTCGGTTCAGACCACACTACACCCACCGACTCTAAGATGAACATTGGTGGAACCAGGATGTGTCTTAAGAGTTGGTGGCATTTCATCATTAATTGGAACTGTTTTCTCTTTCCTGTTGGTACCTAAAATAATGGTACTTTAAAAAATATTACCATCATAGACTTAGTGGAACAGAGATGGCAGGGAGAGATGAGCCTGGGTTAGAAGGTGAGACAGACAGCATTAATGTTCTAGGTGGAGGGTGCCTGCTGTCTCTGACTCTGCATCCTTGACGTGGAGTGCCAGGGGAAGGGACTGAACGGCAGAAGGTGTTTCTGGTCTCCAGGATTCCTTTCTGGGAAGAGCCTGTACAGGTGTTGATTGTTCATTTGGATACTTAAAGGACAAGTCTCAAAGAGTGGTCTGCATTCGGTCATCAGCACTTGCCCCCAGTGTCCTCAGAAATGAAATGGTCTCATCTGATGCCCTTAATAAGAACTGAACCAGCTCTTCTAGGACCTCATTCCCCTCCCCCCCAATCTCTGTAGCTGTTGCACCCATTTTTCCAGGATTTCAAAGTGTTCTATAGAACCATGACTTTGGTTTTAGTCACTGGATGTGGGGCAGCTAATAGCTCCAAGGATGTCTGTCATAATCCACAGAACCTGGACATGCCACCTGCCATGGCAAAGGGACTTTGCAGATGTGGTGAAGGGAAAGGTGTTGAGGGTAGGAGATTCTCCTGGTCATGAAGGGAGTCCAGTGATATCATCACCAGGGTCCTTATAAGAAGGAAGCAGAAGGAGATAGCCCTATAGGAGAGAAGGTGATATGGCCGAAGCCAAGGACCACTGGCAACTGTTAGAAGCTGAAAGAGGATTTTCCCCTGGAGCCTCTGGAAGGAAACAGCCCTATTGATTGGCACCTTGACTTTTGCTAGTCAAGTTGGACTTCTGACCCCCAGAATGATAACATTTTTATGTTGTTTTAAGCCACCAAGTTTGGGGGTCCTTTGTTACAGCAGCTGTAGGATACTCATACATACCTTATCCTCCAGAGGCAGTATATACAGTGTACCTGAATTTTTTGCTGCCATTTTCCTGCTATTTTTGTTTCTGAAATTTGGATGAAAACCTGGACACAGTCTGCCACACCTGCTTCTGGAGTGTTTTTCTGACACTGGTAATGTGTTGGGTGTCTCTGAAAGGTTTACTTTTGAAAGTCTTTCCATGCTGCCATTTCCTTTCTGCTTTATTTGCAGTGATTGGTTTGTAGCCTTTCTAAGGCCTTTTAGGTATTTTCTACACCCCCTTTCACTTCTTCTTTAATCCATGGTATATTTGGAAATCTGCATTTTTTTCTAAATATTTGAGGATTTTCCAAGGATATTTCTGTCACTGGTTTCTGATTTATGCACTTGAAATGTTTTAAAGTTATTATCTACCTTGGTGACCATTTTATGTGAACTTAAGGAGAAATATATCTTCTGCTGTTTGGGGTGAAATATTCTACAAATGTCAATCAGATCAAACAGGTTGATGGTGTTATTTAAGTCTTTTATATATATTAGGGTTAAACTGTCCTTTCAAAACAAGTCTTGAGATCCTACATCCCAGGACCTGCAAACATGGCCATATTTGGAAATAGGAGCTTTGCAGATGATGAAGTTCAGATGAAGACATTACGGTGGACCCTAACCCAATATGACTATGTCTTTATAAAAGGGGAGATCTGGATAGAACAGTCATGTACCAAGGGAAGATGATGTGATGATAAGAGAAAGAAAGGCTGGAGGCTATAAGGCACTGGGAAAGAAGAGGAGACCTCCCTCACAGCCTCAGATGGAACTAGTCCTGCTCATTATTGCATTTCAGACTTCTAGACTCTAGAACTTCGAGACAAGAAATTTCTACTATTAAAGGTTATGGGACTTTGCTATGGAAACCCTACGAAACATGCAGTGTTCTTACCCGACTTTCCACCTACTTCTAACCAGGGGTATTGAAATCCCTGACTGGGGCTTCATCCACCACCTCCTGTAATTGGTGGCTCTATTAGGTGCACAAACATTTAGAACAAATGTCTTTCTTGGGGGGTGCGGGGGAGTACAGGGGATTGAATTCAGGAGCACTCGACCACTGAGCTAGGGTCTGAGTTGCTTAGCGCCTCATTAAATTGCTGAGGCTGGCTTCGAACTTGCAATCCTCCTGCCTCCACCTCCCGAGCCACTGGGATTACAGGTGTGTGCCACTACGCCCTGCCCAGATGTCTTTTTGATGGATTGATCTCTTTATATTAAGGAATTGCTTTTTTTTTTTTTTTTTTTGGTGCTGGGGATTGAATCCAGGGCCAAGCATGCTAATAAGCACCTGCTCTACCACTGAACTACAGCCCTCTCGCCCACCTTCTTCTTTTTTAAAAAATTTATTTTTTAGTTATAGTTGGACACAATGCCTTTATTTTATTTATTTTTATATGGTGCTGGGGATTGAACCCAGGGCCTCGCACACAAGTGTTCTACCACTAAGCCAAAACTCCAGCCCCAGTAATTACCTTCTAATACTAATAATAGTCTTAGCTTTGAAATCAGTTTTGTCTAATATTAATATTATGATTTCATTTTTTTATAACAAGTGGTTTTTAAAAGATTTTTTTGATCCATTTGTTTCTTTGTTCCTCTTTTCTGCCCCTTTTGAACTGAGTATTTTTCATTCCATTTTACCTTCTTTGTTGTATGACTAGCTGTAACTTTAGGTTTATAGAATACATTTTTTGTGTGTGGTACTGGGGATCAAAGCCTTGTAATGTACATTTCTTTGTCTCTAGTAATAAATTTGTGTTAAAGCCTATTTTGTCTGATATTAGTATAGCCACTTTTTTTGGCTACTATAATGCATCCCCCCTCCTTGTTTTTCTTTTGGTGCTGGGGATGGAACCCAGGGGTGCCTTACCACTGAGCCATACCCTCAGCCCTTTTCATTTTTTATTTTGAGACAGGATCTTGCTAAGTTTTTGAGGCTGGCCTCAAACTCCTCCTGCCTCAGCCTCCTGAGTCACTGGGATTACAGTGTGTGCCATGGTGTCCCAGCCTGTGGACAGCTTTTATTTCCCATGGGGGTGTCACCTGCTGCCTCCTTGCAGCCCTCTTCCCAGTGAGCACTCCACCACACTCTGCTTGGTTCTGCAGCGTACACCTCCTTTTCTCTGCTGTTTTAAGATTACCTCTACATCACTGCTTTGGTGTGCCATGGCATGTCATGGTCTTCTGTGCTTGAGTACATTGAGCTTCTTGTATCTCTGGGTTTACAGTTTTCATCAAGTTTGGGAAGTTTTGAACCATTCTTCAAATCTTTTTTTTCCTCTTCTGTCTCCCTCTTCTCCTTCAGGAATTCCAATTTGTGTGTGTGTGTGTGTGTGTGCGCGTGCGCACGCACACGCACATGCACACACACATTTACCTAATAGCTCACTGATGCTTTTTCATTTTGTAATTTTTATTTCTCATTTGGTTTCAGATAGTTTCTGTTGCTATATCTCCAGATATAGCAACAGAAACTATATTTTGGCAAACTTTTCTTCTGTGATGCCTAACCTGTAATTAATCTCATCCAGTTATTTTTCATCTCAGACTTTAATTCAATTCAGATTGTTTTTAAAATATCCTCCAGCTGGGCGCAGTGATACACAACTGTAATCTCCAGTGACTCGGGAGTCTAAAGCAGGAGGATCATAAATTTGAGGCCAGCCTCAGCAGTTTAGCAAGCCCCTGTTTCAAAATATAAAATAAGATAAAATTAAAAAATATTTAAATGGGCTGGGGCTGTAGCTCAGTGGCAGAGCACTTGCCTAACATATGCAAGGTCCTGAGTTCAATCACTGGCACCACCAAAAATACAAAAAAATTTCCATGTCTCTACTTACCTTGTTGAACATAACAAATAATAGCTGTGTTCATTGTTTTAGTATCCTGTCCTGCTAATTCTAGTACCTGGGTCACTGTGGGGTGGTTTCAGTCGACTGAACCATCTCATTAAGGGTCATGTTCTTATGTCTGTTTACATGCCTGGTCATCTTTGATTGCTGGCTAGTCACTGTGAGTTTTCTTGGTGGGATGCTGAATAGTTTTATAATCCCTCACCATAATGCAGTTATTTGAAAATAGTTTGATCCTCTCAGCTCTTGTTTTAGATTTGTGAGGTGGGTCCGTAGCAGTGTTCGGTCTTGGGCGGACTGTTGTCTACCTCAGAGGCACCCCTTTTCTGAGAACACTGCCCTGTGCCCCTTGAATGATGAGTTTTTCCAAACTGGCTGGTCAAAGCAGGCACCTCCTCAGCCCCACAGACTCTGGGCCCTGTTCTCCTAGCTGTGCAAGGTTGGTTGGTACCCTCCTCACATGGATCCTTTCTGTGCTGGATGCATTTCTCTTCCTGCTGATACTCTGTCCTGTGGATTTGAGTTGCCTCCGTCTCTACTCCAGGAATCCTGTAGGCTGCATCCCAGCCTCCTCCCTGCACTGCAGCCACTCCATCCTTTCAGGAATTTTCTATTTCTTCATTACCTGTTACCCTTGTTTGAAAAACCACTATTTCATAGTTATTACTTTTCGATGTTTTAGTTTTGGCTGTTACAGATGAGAGGGTAAATTCAGTCTCTGTTACTCCCTCTTGGCTAAAAATGGAAATATTCCATCATTAATTTTGAGGGGTTCATAGTATTTCACCACCTGGGTCTGCCCCAAGTATGGATAATCTATCCCATGAGCAGGGCTGCAGGCTCCGTTTTGTACATACCTCCTGGCATTCTGTGTGACAGTCCATAGAGAAAATCCCTTTCTGTGGAGTTCCAACCCAAGGCTTGGATCCTTTACAATTTGGTTTGCTCATCTCCAGTGTGCGCCTCTACCATCAGCAATGGGCCAATAATTGGGCAGACTTTAGATTTTAAATTTAACAAGTGACTTCCATCCTTTATTCGTGACTCAGTGAAAGCCTGGAGGATCACTTGTATTTGTAGTTTCCCATCTTTTATGAAGAAAATTGCATGTTAAGATGCCATTTACACAGGTGCAGTCTCAAAAACCTGATGACCTTTAAGAATGTTAAAGTCTTGGGGCTGTGGCTGTGGCTCAGTGGTAGAGCACTTGCCTTGAATGTGTGAGGCACTGGGTTCGATTCTCAGCACCATATATAAATAAAAATTAAAGGTTTGTCAACAAGTAAAATAAATAAAATTTTTAAAAAAGAATGTTAAAGTCTTTATGTCCAACTTAGCTTTTAGGACCAGATAGATAGTTTTTCTCATTAAGGGCTTTAAGTCACCAGAGTTAGGTATCCCAGATCTCCTTCCTTTTGACTCTTGCAGTATTTTTGACTTGAAGTTATTGACTTTCTTCTTCTAGGGCTTAGGCCAAATGGGACTTCCTAAGCACAGGGGGCCATCTGCTTTAACATTGAGTGATCGGGCTCCTAGTCTAGCCTCTGTGAAGCATCCAAGTTCTGACCAGGTTCGGGATTCCACTGGTGGCCTAGATCAGTCATCAGAATCCAGTGGATACCCCTCTGAAGATGCTGCCCTCAGGGAACGAAGCAGGGGTCCCTCTACTACTAGATTCCTTGCAAGGGCCCGTGATGAAGCTGGCATGTTAAAACCCAGCCAAGCTACATCCCAGTTAAAAGCAGAGCCAGAGCGCCGCAGAGGTAGAGAGACCTCAACACGTCCAAGAAGAGATGAACGAGATGCACGCCCTGGCCCATCGCAACAGGATTTACCCTCAGCCAGAGATCGGCATTATGCATTTCCAGATCAGCGCCGTGGGGCACGTGTCAGCCAAGACGAAGTCTATGCAAGGCCAGATCAGCAAAGCATGGGACTACCTGGCACAGTGTTGCCATATGCTAGCACTTATCCACATGGTGTGGTGCCGCTTCGTGAGAGTCAGCTTGGTGAGCCACCACCTGAAATATACTATCAGGGCTTGGTACAATTTGGCATGGATCAGCATGGTGTTGTGCCACCTTTAGTACCTGGCAGAGATCAACAAAGATTGGAACTACCTGGTATAGACCAAGTTGATATGGCCTATCGGTATGGCATGATACTTCCTGGCACAGATCAACTCAGTATGGAACAGGCCGGCATACATGAGCGTGATATGGGACTACTTGGCATGGATCAGCAAGGACTGATACCCGCTGGCATGGGTCAGCAACAACTGGTACTGCCTGGAATAGATCAACAAGGATTGCTTCTACCTCTCACAGTTCAGTATGATTTGATATCACCTGGTTTGATGCAAGTTGGTAGAGATCAACAAGGTTTGCTACAGCCCACTTTGGAAGCACCTGGCTTCATACAACCTGGCACCGAGCAGTATGATTTTATCCAGCCTGAGAGAGATCATCCTGGCTTGGTGCAGCCTGGAATGGTTCATCCTGGTTTTGTGCAAACTGATTCAGGGCAGCGTGGTCTGGTGCAGCCTCGTGCAGATCAGGGTGGTTTGGTACCACCTGGGATAGACCAACAAGGTTTGGTGCAACTTGGCATAGGTCGGCGTGATTTGGTCCCGCCTGGTCCACATAGGCCTGGTTTGGCACCTCCTGGAACAGCTCAGCCTGGCTTTGTGCAACCTGGTGTATATCCACATGATCTGGTGCCACCTGGTGCAGGTCAGCTTGATGTGGTGCCACCTGGTACAGATCAACGTGGTGAAGTGCAACGTGCCAGAGATCAGCGTGGGTTAGTCCATCCTGGAGTAGATCGGTATGGTCTGGCACAACTAGGGGAACTGCCTAGTGATTGGGTGCAGCCTGGTGCATTTCCACCTGGGTTGGTGCAGCCTGCTGCAGAGCCATATCATTTGGTCCAACCCGATATAGGTCAGCATGGTTTGGCCCAGCCTGGCATAGATCTGCAAGGTTTGGTGCAGCCAGGAGTGGATCAGCATGGTTTGATATCACCTGATACAGTTCAGCATGATTTGGTGCAACCTGGGATGAGTCAGCGAGGCGTGGTGCCACCTGATATGGGTCATCATGGCATGCTGCCACCCCGCATGGGTCCACGTGGCCTGGTGCCACGTGGCATGGGTCAGCGTGGCTTGGTGCCACCCAGCGTGGGTCCACGTGGCTTGGTGCCATCCAGTGTAGATCAGCCTAGCATAGTGCCACCAGGTGCGGATCAGCCTGGCTTGGTGCCACCTGCCAAGGATCAGCATGGTATAGTGCCACCCGCCATGGAAAAGCCTGGCTTGGTGCCACCCAGTGTGGTTCAGCGTGGCACGGTGCCACATGGTGTGGGTAAGCCTGGCATGGTGCCACCCAGCATGGATAAGCCTGGCATGGATCAGCTTGGCGTGGTGCCACCCAGTGTGGATCAGCCTGGCATGGTGCCATCTGACATGGATCAGCCTGGCTTGGTGCCACCTGCTAAGGATCAGCATGGTATAGTGCCACCTGCCATGGATAAGCCTGGCATGGGTCAGCCTGGCTTGGTGACACCTGCCAAGGATCAGTGTGGTATAGTGCCACCTGCCATGGATAAGCCTTGCTTGGTGCCACCCAGTGTGGATCAGCGTGGCACGGTGCCACGTGAGATGGGTAAGCCTGGCATGGTGCCACCCGCCTTGGGTAAGCCTGGCATAGTGTCAACCACCCTGGGTAAGCCTAGCATGGTACCACCCAGCATGGACCAGCCTGGCATGGTGCCAACCACCGTGGATAAGCCTGGCATGGTGCCACATGGCGTAGATCAGCGTGGCTTGGTGCCACCCTGCATGGATGAGCATGGCATGGTTCTACCGGGTGTGAATCAGCCTGGTTTGGTGCCACCCAGCATGGGTCAGCCTGGCTTGGTGCCACCTGGTGTGGATCAGCGTGGCTTAATGGCACCTGGCGTGAAACAGCCTGGCTTGCTGTCACCTGGTGTGGATCAACATGACATGGTGCCCCCTGGTGTGTATCAGCATGGCATGGTGCCACCTGGCATGGATCAGCGTGGCTTTGTGCCACCCGGTGTGGATCAGCCTGGCTTGGTGTCACCTAGCATGTATCAGCGTGGCATGGTGCCACCAGGAATGTATCAGCGTGGCATGGTGCCCCCCGGCATGGATCAGCATGGCATGGTGCCCCCTGGTGTGTATCAGCGTGGCATGGTGCCACCTAGCATGGATCAGCGTGGCTTTGTGCCACCCGGTGTGGATCAGGGTACTATAGTAGTACCACCTGGTATGGATCAGCCTGGCTTGGTGTCACCTAGCATGTATCAGCGTGGCATGGTGCCCCCTGGCATGCATCAGCGTGGCATGGTGCCCCCTGGTGTGTATCAGCATGGCATGGTGCCACCTGGTGTGGATCAGGGTGCTGCTGTACCACCTGGCATGTATCAGCATGGCATGGCACCACCTGGCATGGATCAGCGTGGCTTTGTGCCACCTGGTGTGGATCAGGGTGCTGTAGTACCACCCAGTGTGGATCAGGGTACTGTAGTAGTATCTCCTGACAAAGATCAACATGGCCTGGTGCCAGCTGGTGTGGATGAGCATGGTTTGATGTCCCCTGGCATGGATCAGGGTGCTATAGTAACAACTGGCATGGATCAACGTGGCTTAGAGCCCCCTGGCATGGATCAGCATGCCACGATGCCCTCTGGCCTGGATCAGGGTGCTATAGTACCACCTGGCGTGGATCAGCATGGGTTAGTGTACCCTGGCATGGATCAGTATGGTTTTGTGTCACGTGGTATGGATCAGCGTGGGTTGGTGTCCCCTGGCATGGATCAGCATGGCTTGGTGCCCCATGGTGTGGATCAGCGTGCTGTAGTACCACCTGTCATAGATCAGCGTGGGTTGGTGCCCCCTGGCATGGATCAGCGTGGCTTGGTGCCACGTGGCGTGGATCAGCGTGGCTCAGTGCCACGTGGCATGGATCGGCGTGCTGTAGTACCTCCAGGTGTGGATCAGCATGGCTTCGTAACACCTGGTGTGGATCAGCGTGGGTTGGTTCCTCCTGGCATGGATCAACGTGCTGTAGCGCCACCAGGTGTGGATCAGCGTGGCTTGGCTCCACCTGGCGTGGATCAGCGTGGGTTGGTGCCCACTGGAGTGGATCAGCGAGCTCTAGCGCCACCAGGTGTGGATCAGCGTGGCTTGGTGCCACCTGGCGTGGATCACCGTGGGTTGGTGCCCACTCGCGTGGATCAGCGTGCTGTAGCGCCACCAGGTGTGGATCAGCGTGCTTCGGTGCCACCTGGTGTGGATCAGCAAGGGATGGTGCCCACTGGGGTGGATCAGCGTGCTGTAGCGCCTCCAGGTGTGGATCAGCATGGCTTGGTGCCACCTGGCGTGCATCAGCGTGCGTTGGTGCCCACTGGCATGGATCAGCATGCTGTATCGCCAACAGGTGTTGATCAGCGTGGCTTGGTGCCACCTGGTGTGGATCAGCGTGCTGTAGCACCACCAGTTGTGGACCAGCGTGGCTTGGTACCACCTGGCATGGGTCAGCGTGGTTTGGTGCAACCTGGGGTGGTTCAGCATGGCTTTGTGCCATATGGTATGGATCAATGTGGTTTGGTCCAGCTTGGTACAGGGCAGCCTGGAATGGGTCAGTGTGTTTTGTTACAACCTAGTACAGGGCCACATGGCTTAGTTCAACCTGGTGCATACATGTCTGGCTTAGCTCAACCTGGTTTGGTCCAACCTGATGCTTATCTACCTGGTGTTTTCCAACCTGGTGCATATCCTGGCAGTTTGGCTCAAGCTGGTGCATATCCTGGCGGTTTGGCTCAAGCTGGTGCATATCCTGGTGGTTTGGCTCAAGCTGGTGCATATCCACATGGTGTGGTACAACCTGGAATGGATCAACGTGGTTTGAGACAACCCAGTGCTGATTGGCAAGGCTTGATGGCATCAGGCACAGAACCTCGTGGCTTTCCAACATTCCAGAGAGATCCTCAGGGTTTGACATCACTTTGCCCATATCCACCTGGTATGGGACCTTCTGGCCGAAAGCCACGTGGCCAGGTGTCATCACTGTTACCCAGTCGAGGTTTGGCATCACCAATTATAGACCAGAGGGGTTTGGTACCACCAGAAACCTATCAGCAAAGTTTGATGCATCCTGGCCTAGAGCAGCGGGGCCAAGCCCCAGATCAACAGCTTTTGGTATCATCTGGGCCAGATCAGCCAGAACAGGTGTACCCAAGTGCAGTTCAGCAAGATAGAGAATATTCTGTCTCTGCCTCTGGTGGCCCAGATTATGAGGGTATTGGTCCACACGATCAGGAATATTTGGATCTACGCAGAACAAGTGATTTACAGCAACCTGGGCGACCTGCCCAGGCTGCCTCTGTCCAAGAAGTTCCCTCTTTCGTGAGTCAAGAAGACTCCGAAAGGAGTGAGGTCCAGAGTGAGCGACATGATTCACTGGAGAAACTGGCCCCCAACTTCCCCATAGCGGTGGAAACGTTTCGTCTGATGGGAGAGATGATCGGTCGCTATGTGGAGCTAAAGGAGAGAATAAAGGATCTGGATGAGGAGAAAGCTGGCCAGACTGACTTGGAGAAGATAGAGTACCTACTCGCACTGATGGGTGGGTACCACTTGTGGGGTGTGGGGGAGGAGAGGGCACTGTTTTCACTCTTAAGTCGGTGGCATCCTTTCCTTCCCCTGGCCATATAGGCATAGCGTCCCTCTCAGACCTTCTGGGCTCCACAGGCCTTCAGGGTCCAAATGAACGGGTCGGGCAAAGGCTGGGGCAGGCTAGCGGGGCTGATGGAGCCTAGGGGAGGGATGAAGAGTGCCTCTTCTGCCTCTGTCAGTCCTCCTGGAGAGCAGCTGGGGGAGGTGTCGGGAGGCGTGGGGAGAGAATGCTGAGGACTGAACTTAACACTTGCTCAGGGCTGGGGGTGTCGCTAAGTAGAAGAGTGCTTGTCTGGCTTATGCCAGGCTCTGGGTTCCATCCCCAGCATAGGAGGAAAAATGGTCCAATCACAAGTTTAGGTTCCAGGGAGTAATTAAGATTTTAGTCGTGGGTCTGTGGGCGGGGTTTCTATGGGTGCAAGACAACCCTCTTCCCTCTTTCCTCATCTCCTCGCCCCAGTCACCAGGGAAGGCAGTGTTCTCCGGGGTCCTTCATTTTGTGGGGTTGGAAAGAGAGTGGGAGCCCACTGGGAATCTAACCCTTTTGACATTAAGGTCTCCATTTTTCCTAGTCCAAAAAACCATACCCCCTGACCTGCAGGAACAGCTGAAAAGCATAAAGACCTTGGCCAAAGAAGTTCAGCAAGAAAGAGCCCAAGTATGTAAGGGAGAGTGAACCTCCTTTGCCTTCTGGATGGGGTGGGTCAGAGCCCTTGTGCTTTGTGCTTGAGGGTGACAGAGTCCTTTTTCAGATCTGATTGGGCCTTTGCCATCCCTCAGGTAGAAAGTGCACCCTGGGTGTTACTGTGTTTGTTTCCTGACCCTCAAAGCTATTAAGATACAGCTGAGTTAAGCAGTCTTGGCACTTTCTGGGGACAGAGGTCATTGCAAGGGGCTGCTAGGAATTTAGCATTCTCAATGCCAACAACTACATCCAGGAGGTAGATGGGTGGCTGGATGTCCAGAGAGGACCTAGATTTCATTAGGTAAAGATTAGAGAATGGAGAGGAGTGTGTGGGGGTTGCAGGATCACATGCAGGAAAGGGGGGAGCAGGCCTACCTGACCTTCCCCTTCCATTGGGTTTGCAGCTGAACAAGCTACAAAGAATCCTGGAGGGTGACAGTGACCGGGAAGCAGGGAAGGAGCTGAAGGCTGGTCAGCTGAGCCTGCAGCTGGGCATCATCAGGTGAGATGCCCCTACCCTGTGCACTGCAGTCCTGGTGTCCTGTGTTCCCAAGACAGAAGGCGGTGGCAGCCTTCACTTTTCCTCCTGCTCTGACCTGACTGCTGTCTTTGACCTGGATCATACCTAGTCTTCAGGTTGCCAGATCTAGTTCAAGGAACTGGTACAAGTTCCCCAGGTTCCTAAAACAGCTCATTAGCAGGTCTAAGAAGAGCACAAGGCTCTTCACACTGTCCCCAGGGAGATACAGCTCAAGCTCCTCAGAGCTCCTCTTTGCAGGGCCCTGTATCACCGCCTAGAAGCCTTAGGCCAACACATGGGGCAGCCCCTGGAACAAAAGTAGGACCTGGGGCTCCCTAGACAGAGCCAGCCTCCTCTCATCCCCTGCGTCCGGGGTGGCCAGGCTTGGTACTACTGGGCTCCGTTCTCTGAGCTGGCCCTGGAACTAGGTGGTCTCTTATATATCGCAGAGTCACCGTGGCTGACATTGAGAAGGAGCTGTCTGAGCTGCGGGAGAGTCAGGAACGAGGCAAGGCTGCCATGGAGAACTCCGTCTCGGAAGCCTCACTTTACCTGCAGGACCAGGTGAGGAACTGGTGCTCCTCAGCTCCAGGGACCACGCACCCTTCTCAGAGTTGGCTATGGACAGTGGACAGGCCTGCCTTCTCACTGCTCAGAGACCAAGCTTTCAGGTCCCCCTTAGCATGTGTGGGGAGGTGACTGTGTCTAGGATTCAGCCTCCTCCCAATGCAAAACCGAATTGGGCCACAGGTGCACAGGCACGGGCATCCTGGAGCAAGGTGATGATGTGCTGTACACCTCCCACTCATCTACTTTCCCTGTCCTTCTTTCATTATATAATTTACATATTATAAAATTGCCCTTTTAAAGTGAAAAAGACAGTCGGGCACAGTAGCACATACCTCTAATACCTGGGCTCAGGAGGCTGAGGCAGGAAGGTCATAGGCTGGAGGCCAGTCTCAGCAGTTTAGCAAGACCCTCAGAAACTTAGCAAGACCCTGTCTTAAAACTTGAAAAAATGTAGCAGAGTGGAGGAGCACCCTGGAGTTCCAGTACCAAAATAATAATAATAATAAAGTGAACCAGGTATTTTGTAATAACTCACAAGTTGTGCAACCATGACAACAACCCAATTCCAAGATGTTTCATCACTGCCTGAAGAGGCTTTAATCCTGTTAGCAGTTTCTCTCCCACACCCCATGACCCCGCCACACAAGCCCCAGGCCCTGACAACCATTCTTCTGCTTTCTGTCTTTTGGAAGTGTCTTCTTTTGGACATTCATTTCATAGAAACAAAATCTTGTGATAAATGGTCTTTTGCATCTGGCTTCTTTTTCTGAGTAGTGTTTTCAAGGTCCATCCATGTTGCAGCATGTATCAGTCCTTCACTCTTTATTACTCAGGACAGTTTCACTTTGTGGCTATACCACAATTTATCTATTCATCAGTTGAAGAACATTTGAGTTGTTTCCATCTTTTCGCAATTAAAACTAATGCTGCCATGAACATCCCTGTACAAGTTTTTAATGTGGAGATGTTCTAATTTCTCTTAGGAACATACCAAGAGTGGGATTGCTGGGTCATATGACAGCTTTAATTATCATTTGAGGGCCTGCCAGACTGTTTTCCAAAGTGGCCACACCATCTGACATTCCTCCTAGCAATGTTGAGAGGGTTCCACTTTCTCCCTGTCCTCACCAACACTTGTTATTTTCTTTCTTTTTTTTTTTTTAATTTTTTAATTTTTTTTTATTGGTTGTTTATTTTCTTTCTTTTAATTCGAGCCATCCTAGAGAGAGTGAAGTGGTATCTCATTATGGTTTTGACTTACATTTTCTTGATGACTAATCATGCTGAGCACCTTTACATGTGCTTTTTGACAGTTGTATGCCTTGTTTTTTAGCGATAAGGGATACAAATATCTACTCAAATCCTTAGTCCATTTTTTACATTGAGTAATTTATCTTGTTATTGTTGAGTTCCACAAGTTCTTTACATATTCTGGATACCAGGTTTATCTGGTATAGACTTGCAAACATTTTCTCCCACTCTGCAGGCTGTCTTTTCTTTTCTTTTCTTTTTTTTTTTTTTTCTTTTTCTTTTTTGTGGTGTTAGGGATGGAACCCAGGCCAGGCAAGAGCTCTCCCACCAAGCTACAACCCAGCCTCTCACTTTCTCAGGAGTGAGTGTCTACCTTTGAATCTTGAATGACACTGTCCTTAGTTTTCCTAGTAAAGAGTGTCTGACTTAGGAGCAGTCCCCTGAGCACTCACAGAAGGACCACCTAGGGAAAGCCACTGGGCCCAGGGATTCCAGTCAGGAATCCCTGTGTGCCTTGAGCCATGTTGTGGTCTCTCTTCCCAGCTGTTGGTGCAATGGCATGTAACATTTCAAGACTGAGCCAATTATCCCATGTGGGGCAGAGAGGGTACAAAGTCACCTGCTGGCCCAAAGTTCCTGTCTGGTCTTGGTAATCAGCAGGGACCTTCCCCCTGGTTGTGCAGCCTCTCCTCTAGTCAAACCTTCCTCATGTCCAGCCTCCAGCCCTCGGCCTTCCTGCCTGTCTTTTAGCCCCCTCCCCCTTTCTCATGCTATCTTTGTTCTGGAATTCTCCTCCTGGATCTTCTTTACCCAGAGAGCTGCTTTATGTTCTTCAAGGCATCACTGAGATGCCCATTTTTCTGGGACTGTTCCTTTTCCCTTTGAGAGAATGACTCTGTCCCTTTGCATCCCAGAGACCTGTTATGTGCTGGCCTCAGCCAAGGCCATTCAGTTGCAAGTCCTGTTTGTTCAAGCAAAAGGGAGACACATTGAGTATATACAGAGTTGGGGGGGCGTATGTCCAGGCCACAGCGGGCAGTTGGGGTGTTTCCCCATGTTTGGTTTTCTGCATACCTTTGTCTTTTTCCTCACCCATCCCTCTCAGCCTCCCCACCTCTCTTCCATTCTGTTCCCAAGCAACTTGTCTCTTACACATGGTTCCAAATGGCTGCCCTGAGCCCTGTAGTTTTTTGACTTTTCTGCCCACTACCAAATTGGGGGATGGGTGGATGGGGGGTACAGGTTGGCCGTGCCCCTTTTTGAGTCAGGCAATGAGTTGAGGGTCTCTGGCCAGTCCAGGTTGGTTGCTTTTAAATTGTGCTCTGCTTAGGCCCGGTCATTAGCAACAACAAGCTGGACAAGGGGCTGCAGAGGAGAGCAGCAGGGCCAGGCCAAGCAGCTGTCCCTGGAAGGGGCTTATACCCCCTGACCCTGAGAGACCCCTGCAGCACTGTCTTCACTGTCCCATCCCTTTACTGTCAGTTATGCACATACTTGGTGGCACAGAGCATGGGCAAGCCCACCATTCACACCCCTAGGCCCCCAAGCAACCTGGCTGTCATCAGAGTGCTGTGAATGTCTATGGATCACTTTAGGGTTTAGCCAGAGCAGATCAATGGGCTGACTGGAGAAAGGTCCAGAAACCTCCTACCTGCAAATGCTTTATTCAATTGAATTTTTACTTTTGGTGGTACAGGAGGTTGAACCAGGGGCACTCTACCACTGCATTATATTCCCAGCCCTTTTAAAAAATATTTCATCTTTGGGGCTGGGGTCATGGCTCAGCAGTAGAGAGCTCGCCTAGCACATGTGAGGCCCTGGGTTAAATTCTCAGTACCACATAAAAATAAATAAGATAAAGGTATTGTGTCCAACTACAACTAAAAAATAATAAAAAAATTTTCATCTTGAGACAGGTCTCACTAAGTTGCTGAGGCTAGCCTCAAACTTGCAATCCTCCTGCCTCTGCTCCTGAGTCCTTAGTATGACAGATGTGGCCACAACATCCAGCCACCAGTGCTTTATGTGGCGTTCAGGCTGACCCCAAAGAGAGCACTGTTCACTGGTTGACCAACAGAGATGGGGTGCCTACTACACTCTGTACATTCTGCAAGGCACCAAAGGGTGGTGACTGCCCTCTCAGTCAGGAAGAGGCAGGAAGCATCTCACTAGCATTGGTGGTCTGGGCAGAATATGGCTGAGACTGTCTCTGTCCTCTCCCCATGTCTTTCCTTCACCCAGTTAGACAAGCTGAGGACAATCATCGAGAGTATGCTGGCCTCCTCTTCCACCCTGCTGTCCATGAGCATGACCCCACACAAGCCCTTGACTTACTTCACACCTGGCCGGATTGACCCCAATGCTACCTGTCCGGCCTGCAGCCTGGACCTGGGCCATCAGGTCAGCACACTCGTACGGCGCTATGAGCAGCTCCAGGACATAGTCAGCAACCTGGCTGCCTCCCGGCCTTCTAAGAAGGCCAAGCTCCAGAGCCAGGTGAGTCTCTGCTTGCCTCCCTCCCAGTGCCCTGGAGGCCCTGCAGAGTGTCAGCTGACAGCTCTCCCCAAGAAGGGGAGCTTCAGGCTTGAGATCATCTTTAGCCAGATCCTACAAAACTCCCTGATCCTTCCACAGGGTCACAGCGTGAGTAGCTGTGAGTCAGCTCTGGGGACAGGAGACTGAGAAGAGCTGGTTCAGTGGGTGGGGTGGTCCTGGCTGGTCAAGGGTAGAGCAGTGCCATGTGTGTGCACATTTGAGCAGACAGCCACTCCCCTGGCATGCCCATCTTCCCAATTCCTTCCAGATTTCTCCCCACAAGTCCTGCTCCTGGACTCAGGAATTCATGTTTGGATCCTGAATCCAAGATCAGGGAAGGTGGGGAGAGACTACAGCCACTGGAGCTAGACCTAGTGAAGTGCTGCTGGAGGACCAGTGGAGATCTCTCTCTAGAAGCAGCTCAAGAGCAGCACATGCTCCTGAGCCTCAGTCACCTCTGCTGATCACTGTACTTGGCCCAGCAGCTCCTCGTCCTATGGCAGGGGACATAGGGAGGACTTTTTGAGGCTGCTGGGTGGTCCTACACCTTGGGGCAAATCCATGAGGATGTAGAGGACTGCTGTCCCTGTCTGGCTGGGAACACAACTGTTGGTGGGAAACTGAATGTCACTATATAAAATGGACATGGATCTGAAATGAGCTTCCTTATTGGGTGGTGTAGGGCCACCCAGCAGCCTCAGAGAGTCCTCCCTGTGCCCCCTGCCACAGGACGAGGAGCTGCTGGGCCATGTACAGAGCGCCATCCTGCAGGTGCTGGGTGACTGCGAGAAGCTAAACATCACTACTAGCAACCTCATCGAGGACCATCAGCAGAAGCAGAAGGACATTGACGTGAGCAGCTAGGGCAAGGCTGAGGCCCCCACCACCCACCCCTGCTGCTCAGCTGCTGGTTCTTTATTTCTTACTTTCTGGGCCTCCAGATGCTGTACCAGGGACTGGAAAAGCTCGAGAAGGAAAAGGCCAACAGGGAGCACCTGGAGATGGAGATCCATGTGGTAAGCACCAGTTCCCAGGGGCCCTCTGCCCTAGGGTGGTCTTGCTGGCCAGAGGGGTGAGGGGCTGGTGGTGTAGGGCATGGAGATGTGGGCTCTTGGAAAACTGTGCTTCAGGGGTTGACATGGGGGGGTGGGCCCTGTCATGGCCCTCTCCCAAGTGGGGCCTCCCCTACTCTTCATGCAGAAAGCAGACAAGAGTGCCCTAGCAGCCAAAGTGAGCCGTGTCCAGTTTGATGCCACCACAGAGCAGCTAACCCACATGATGCAGGAGCTGGTGGCCAAGATGACTGGGCAGGAGCAAGACTGGCAGAAGATGTTGGACAAACTCTTGGTACAGATGGACAGCAAGGTGAGTGCAGGAAAGGCTGCAGGATGGGTGGGACTGTCCTCCACTGCCCTCAAGGCTAGACCCCCATCTGCTGCCTTGGTCTCACCTGGAACCCACCCCCACCCAGCTGGACCGCCTGGAGCTAGACCCTGTGAAGCAGCTGCTGGAGGATCGGTGGAGATCGCTGCGGAAGCAGCTCAAAGAGCGCCCTCCACTCTACCAGGCAGATGAGGCAGCTGCCATGAGGAGGTGAGGCCCGGAGATAGCTGGGAAGTGGCATACCTTGCTGGGAGGGCAGGTGGTGGGCTGGGGACCCCCAACAAACTGAATCTTCCAGAGATGTCCCATTGTTGGAGGGACAATTTTAGAGCTGGAAGAAGTCTTCTAGCTCAGACCCCTTCAGATGACCACAGAGAAAGGGAGTTGGGAGATGCTAAGACTCCCTGGCTGAGGTGTGTTGCACTGGGCCCTTGGGACAGGGAGAGGTCTGTAGTCTCAGAATTGAGATGTTCCTTGGGGACCTGGGTGGTAGTGGCCTTGAAGCCCAGGATTACCATTCTTGGCCACCAGAGGGGCCCCAAGGCCTATGAAGAGCACGCTTGGGACCCTGGGAACCCTGCTGACTTTGAGTAAGGATGGCAGGTGCAGGCCGTGTGCGTGGAAGCAGGCATGTGCGAAAGCAGGGCCACCCTACTGAGCCTCCTGCCAGTCTGGATTGTGGGCAGCCAACCCCTCTGAGCTCTCCCCTTCTGTGCACCTCACTCCCAACAGGCAGCTCTTGGCTCATTTCCACTGCCTCTCATGTGACCGGCCCCTGGAGACAGCTGTGACTGGACAGTGAGTGCTCATACCTGGCCCAGGGCAGCTGGTGACCATGGTGGGGTGGCATACAGGGCTTCACTTTCTCCATCTGCCTACCTCACCTCTTATCTTTTCCTTCAGTCTCCTGGGCCGACTTCCTGCCCTGCGCCTTCTCAGGCCTGGCTAGTCTGGGGTGGTTAGGAAGGTCCTTTAGGCTGATGGAATATGGGAGTGGTAGGTGGATCCAGTGATGGAATGTCCAAATCTGAGCCCCCCTACCTCTGTGTCCCTGTCCAGAATGATACCCCTGATTCCTATGAGTCCTGGCCTGCCAGCACACCGGTCCATTCGCCCCTACACAATATTCGAGCTGGAGCAGGTCCGCCAGCAGAGCCGCAAGTACGGGGCAGTGGAGTCCTGGGCAGGACTGAGTGGGAGGGTGGGGTAGAGAAGGCTCCAGAGGGTGCCCTGGGGCACTGTACAGGGCCTGAGGTAGGAACCTGCCACCAGTCGGGTTCTGAACTACCTGCTAGCCCTTCTGCTCTCTCCCCTTTGACTCATTTATACTTTGGCCTCTGGGGAAAACCTTTCTGGGCAAGTGTGGCCCCTCAGGGGTGCCTTGGAGAGGGCTGATGCCCTGGGACCAAACTGCCCCAAGCCTGCAGGCCTCAAGCCTTTCAAGGGTGCTAGCTCCGCCCGCACAGGATTTTGCAGAATAAAGGCCCATGGTGGAAGGAAGTATTTACGCCAAGTATAGGAATGGAGGATGTGGGGCTCTGTCCATCTTGGGCTGACCACCCTCCCTTCCACCTGGGCCCCACAGCCTCAAGCTAGGCAGCACTTTCTGTCGGGGTGACCTGTCACCGATGGAGCGGAGTGCAGGGCGCCTGCGCACCATGCACTCCAAGATGCTGATGGACATTGAGAAGGTGCAGATCCACTTTGGAGGCTCTGTGAAGGCTAGCAGTCAGATGATCCACGAGCTGCTGCAGGCCCAGGGCCTCACTTCCCCTTGCTACAAACGGTAGGGGACAGAGTCCAGGTGACTGTGCCTGGTTTATGCCCACCCCACAACCATGTGAGCAAAGGGGAAGGTGTGTAAAAACATGTGTGCGTGAACATGCTTGTGTGTATGTGTGGTGGCCTCAAAGTTGCTGTGCTCACTCACCCACCTGTCCCTGGCCCCTTGCTCCTGCCCTGACTCCTGGGGACTCCTCAAGAGAGCTGCCTCTGTGTCTCTGGCTAGCCCCATCATAGGTGTGTCCCAGGTCACACTCTCGGTAGCTCTCACTGACTCCATGCTGTCTGCATCACAGGGTGCCAGATGCGATGGTGGGTTACACCTACTCCACTGTGCCCCGGCGCTGTGGAGGAAGCCACACCCTCACCTACCCCTACCGCCGTAGCCGCCAGCAGCACCTGTCCCAGGGCCCGTATGCTCCTGAGGAGATCCAGATAGCCATGAAGGTCTGGGCCCTACCAGGGAGCCTCAGGGAGGAAGGTCCTGACATGCCCCAGATTCCAAGTCATTCTGGAAAAACAACCTGAAGTCACCTCCTGTGCCCCTTGCCTTGGGGCGGTTTCTTAATCAGACCCAATTCAAGCCCCTTCTTTACATCCTGCCTTGGGAAAAAGATTGCCACTCCAGCTCTGCCAGCAGGCACCGCCACCGCAGGGCCTGAGAACCACGTGCTTTCCACTTCCTCCCACCTTGTCACTGCCCTGGTGCAGCCCAGGGTCCACACTGTAAGAGTTGTAAGCACTGTTTGGTACCAGGAGTCAGAACAGTGCTCTGCACCCCAGGCCTTCACAGGAGCAGGAGCAGAGGGAAAGGTCTAGGTGTCGTAGTGGTAACGGACTGTTTGCCTCTACAGCATGACGAGGTGGACATCCTGGGCCTAGATGGACATATTTACAAGGGACGGATGGATACGAGACTGCCAGGCATCCTGAACAAAGACAGTGAGTATGCAGGTAGCCCAGGGTCCTTACTTGAGTCCTAAGGGACCATCCATCTCCTGGAAGGTTGAGCATACCTTGGGCTACCAGACTGTGGGTGCCACCTTCTTCATTTCCCTGCCTCCAGATGTTCAGGTCTCTCCAAAAGCCCCCAGGTAAGTGCTTACGGATAGAAGACAGCTTTCCTGCCTCAGCCAATCACCCAGCAGGTGGTGGCCCCATCTTTTCTTGCTAGTCTTCTCCTGTTACCACTGCTGAGCTGACCCACCTCAGGCTGTTCCCATCAACACAGCCAAGCTGTACCGGTCCCTTCTTTAAAACCCTGCAAGACACCATCCCTTAATGATCTCCCACGACCCTGAAGGCTGGCTTCCAGTTCCCCATATCTGAATCGGGCTGCTTACCACTTCCCATTGTGCCTTTTAACCCTGCGAGCACCTAGAACTCACCACACCTGGCACATAGCTGATGTGTGTAGTTTTTCAGAGAATGAGTGAGTAGAAGGATGGACAGATAGAGGAGCATAGATGGATGGTGGGTGGAAAGAGCAATGGTCAAGAGCTGGGTGAGCAGGGGGCGGGGGGGGGGGGGGGGGGGGGGGGGGGGGTGGATGGGTGGGCATGTGAATGAGTGAAGTGCCTGTAAAGGGTGAAGGGGCAGATCTACAAATTCTGACCATTCCGCTGAGGCTGGCTATGACCTGCAGCCTACATCCATCTCCCCATGTGCCTGGGTCTGTCTCAGAAAAGACTCTTCCCTCCACTGCGCTCAGGAGTGTCAAAGCACAAGACCAAGCAGCCCCGGCCCCACCTGCCCAGGCATCAGGCCCTGGGTAACATCGGACAGCTGCCCTCCCGGCCTCAGAGCACCCACCTATTGGCTGGCAACAACTCAGGTAGCTTTCTTCTGGATGAGGTGTCCTTCCATATGGCTTGAACACTGTCCTCTGGTCTCTCCTTCCTGCCCCACCACCCCCTAGTTTATACCTTTGTTTCCCTGAAGAGAGGAAAGGCTGGGAGCTGAAGGGTAGGATGGGAAGGAAAAGAGAAAGTCAATTACTGAGTGCTTGGCATGTGCCAGGTCTATGGGGTGGATACTACTGCTGTTCCTGATTCATACAAGAGGACTCAGGTTTCTCTGGCTTAAGCCCAGTCCTTCCCTTCTCACATAACAGGATTCTCTTTGAGCTGCTGCTTATGGGATCCAAGCACCTGTAGGACATGGGACCATGATCAGGCCCCAAGGGACCCCTCACTCTGGTGCTGCCTGGAGGTATTCCTCCCACCCCCAGGCCTAGAAAGCCCCCACAGCCCCTGGTCTCATCCAAGGAGCTAGACCACATCTTAAGGTCAGGGAGCAAAGGGCCTCAAGGTTAGCCACACAAGGGCCTGGGTCCCTTGCTAAGGATCCTGGGGCCAAAAGGCTTGATCAATACCAGGTGACTATTCAGGTCTCTCCCCTCTGCAGACCTAGGTTTTCTCATCTGTCATCAAGGGGGTGGGGTGCTGGATGCATGCTTCTTAGAGTTAGGGCCCCTGTGAGATTGTCACAAAGGTGTCAACCTTCCATTTATCAAATACTCACGTACCCTCAGTACCTAGTAAATCTGTAGGAGGTTCAAGGATCCCCTGACACCCACACACCATCCCCATCCCCAGCTTGAGGGCTCAAATCCTCTGTGCTCTGTAACACCCTTCCATTCCCACATTCAGTGAGTGCCTGTGACAAAGGAAGAAGGGAAAACAGAAGAGAAAGCTTTGTTGGTAATGGTGCCTCGCCTTCATTGGGGATGCCCTCCTGTTCAGGCAGCATTTAGGAGTTTTTATACATACAAACAATTTTAATCCACACACCAATACTAAGGGGTAGGGACCATTGTTAGCCCCAGTTACAGCTGAGAATACCAAGGCGCAGAGAAGTCTTAGGAAACATTCCTGTGCCTTTATGATCTGTGTGATGTTGCCTAAACAGTCCTGTATTAACATTACCCAAGAGGCAGACTTTTGGCCCCAACAAGAGGGCATGTTTACTGACTAACTTTCCTTTACAGGGATTATAAAGGAGCCCCAACTGCTCCAGCGCTCCTAAGTACTCTGCATACTCCAATCCCACCAGCCTGGCCAGTGGGGCCATGCCTGACTTCCCTGTGCTTTGGGTGAGCTGAGTGGGCCTTAGTGGGTGTGGGATACATGGTGGAGCCACCCATGCCCTCCTGTCTTGCAGTTTCTTCGAGGCAACATCTCTCCCAGTCAGATATGGCCCATCCACCCAGCCCCACTGAGATGGAACACCTGCAGGACAACGGTTCAGGACCAGAAATGCACATGGACATACCTCCTGAGGAGGAGCTAGAGGAGCCCACTCGGGGACCACGGTTCACCACTGCTCCCTGAATAGAGCTTTAAGTAAATGTTTAAGAAGAGGCTTATATTGGGGAAGGCTTCTCTGTCAGTCCTGCCTCAGGAAGATGGAGTGAGAAGGCAGTGCCTGCTGCTGGCCAGGCAGCCCCAGGTGCCCCCAGGGTCCTCAGTCTGAGAATTAGACCTCCAGTTGTTCTAAGTGTGCTGGGGCTCCTGGAGGGCTTCACCGTTGAATTCAGGGCAGCCTGAGTTGGGCCTCCTCTCACTCTCACACCCATCAGCCAGCCCAAGTGTGCTGCTGCCTTCGGGGATGCAGCCCTAACTTCTGATGTGGAGGACTAGCCCAGGACACTGGATAGGCCTGGACCCATGGTGTGGATGTGCTAACTGTATCTTGGAGTAGAGGGCAGAGCTGCTTGCTACTACCCTGCTGCCAGCTCAGGGCAGCTCCTGGGTCCTCACACAGGTCCCAGTGAAGCAATGCCATGAACCAGAAGCAAAAACCCACAGCCCTTGGGAAAGGTTACCATGCTCTGCTGTCTGCCCTTGAGTGGGCCACACAGCCTGAAGGCCAACCCCTGGCAGAAGGGCTGAGTAGAAGCTTCCCTGGCCAATGCCTGGGAAGATGGAGAGCAGGAGTTCAAGGGGCATGGCTTGCATTTTGTGCAAGGCTGAGCCTTCAACCTGCTCCAGGCAGCTGCTTGGCCCATTTGGTCACCTCCTCACTAGCCCCAAACCTACAAACCTATGGAAAAAATGCACCGATATTGGTGGGAGGGTACGGAGGAGTACTGTGTGGTTGAGCCGGCAGCAGCTGCCAGGAACAAGCCCCCAGCACCCAATTGAACCTCCTGAACTTGGGTCACTGGCTGAATTCTGGGGTCCCCCAAAAGACAGGCAAGCTGGGGACAAAGAAGGCCTGAATCATCAAAGCAGTTTCTACCTCAGGTCTTTTCCCACATCAGAGGGAACCAAATGCCCAGAGTGGAGGATGGGGCTCTCCCCACCCCCAGTTCCCATCATCCCTCACATGGGAAAGGGATGTCTCGGGTAAGAGGCTCATTTGGGGGTGTGAGAAGAGGGGGTGAATCACACAGGAAAGAGAGGCAGGAAATGGCCCAGAAATAGGTTTCTCACCCCTGGCCTGGTGTGGGCAAAAGTGGGCTTGGTGGGGGATGCTGTGGAGGTGGGATGCACCCTGAGGGTGGTTCCCTGCTTCCTGATCCCAAGATTCCATGTATCTTTATGTAATCACATAATGCTCATGGCTGGGTGGGAAGAAGAGCTGCTTGGACAGTGGGCACTCCAGGCCAGTACCTTTTCTCTGTACACAGGAGGCAGCGCCAGGGCCATCCCTTCCCCCTCGGCTCCTATTTCTCTCACTGAAGTCCCACCCTGGTGGTGAAATGCCAGAAGGTCAGCTCAGTTTCCCTGGTCTAGAAGCCAAATTCACAGGCTTGGCAGGGAGGAGCAGGTCAGCTCTCCTCACCCACAGAGGACAGGAGTCACATTCCCTGAGTTGCCGGGGCTGGCCCCCACCATTCCACACCTGGGCATGGCCGCTCCACCCTCTCCCAGGCTGGCACACACCTGGGTGCACCCCAGCCCCGGTCCCAGCAGCCTCTAGGGGTGTCACAGCCTGAAAGCCCACGTTCCTTCCAGGGGCTTCCCCTGCTAGCCTGGGAAAGCACAGGTGGGCAGGGGCAGAGCTGAGGCTGGGAGGAGTCTCAGGGGTTTCCAATCAGGAAACAAAACTGAAAGGACAAACCCAGCTTTCACGTGCAGTAGACAGGGCAGCTGGGCTCACTGTTCCACTCCACTAAAGGAGGGGGTGCCCCCAATCAGGGTGAGAAGATGCAAAAAGGCCCAGAGGCAAGGTGGTTAACAACCTGGCTGGGGCCCTTAAGTTTCACTTCACTTTAGGCCAAAACCTCCAGCCCCCAGCCCAGCAGTTCTGCCTTTCAATAGCACTTGGTCCCCCTCAAGCCACAGGAAGGAGTAAAGCTCAAGGCAGGGCTGCCCCTACCATTGCTGGTACTGGCTGCCACATGGTGGTTGTCCATGGCTCTAGGAGGAATTACAACCATGTGGCAGGTCACTCACTCTCAGCCTGTCTCACTCACCTGAATATGTACTGGAGGACAGCAAGAAAAGGTGCTGGCCGAGGACAGCAAGAAAAGGTGCTGGCCAAGGACAGCCAATGATGCCCATTCTAATACCTGGAGGACTGCAGGGCAGGTGGAGGAAATGGAAGCAAGTGTCTCCAGGAACCCACCCACTCTCTGGCTCCAACAGCTGTGGAATCCTACAAATACATACTCATTGACACACCTCCCCAAGGGAGGCTGAGGGTAGTAACAGTAAGATGGGCCCAACTGGAAGATGCAGGGAGTGCCTAGGGCAAAGCAGCATTTGGGAGGACACCAGCTTTCCTAGCAGCAAACAGAATTGGTTTCCAGGGCCAGCCCTGTGGTGCACACCTGTAAGCGCAGCTCCTTGGGATGCTGAGGAAGGGGATAGGCATGCAGCTCAGTGATAAAGCTGTGCTCAATCCCCAGTGGGGTTGGGGGTGGATGGCTTCCCTCCAGGCTCAAGGGTTCTGCTGTTCTAAGCTATAGACAAGGACCAAGTCTTGCAACATCCAAGTTAGACTTGTCCCTACTCTTGCTTGTACTATCAATTCCCCCATGCAGATGCCATCCAGAAGCATCTAGAACAGCCAAATTCAATGGGGCCCCTCCCCCGACCACAGCACAACCAGAGTCCCCACAATTCTCTTCCCAAAGGCATAGCTTCTACCCAGGAAAATAAAGGCACTGCAAAGCAGGGAAGTTAAGTCTTTACGTTTTTAAATTAAAATTCACTCTGGTGAGATGAGATTTTGACTTAGGAACTCCACCCAAAGATGAGCTCCTCCAACCCTGGACACATATGGGGAAAGCTTAGGTGACCAGAGAACAGTCAGGGATGGGACAGTTAGGTCCCCCACTGGGCAGAGCCTGGCCTTCCAAGCCAGCTCTTTAGTCCTATAAGCCTTTCATACCCAGCTGGAGATCCAGAGGGGCCACAAAACAAGGGTGGCAGAGGAGATGAGGAAGAATCAAGAGCATGGCAGTGTTGGGGCTAGGGGGCAGGGAGAGCCCCGTGACGCCAAGAAGGCCCTTCTGGGACCTCTCCTGCAGCTGCTAGGTAGCTGTCCCCAGGATGGGAAGAGTTGGGATCTTCTTCCTGATGGCAGATATGAATTCTGGGTGAAGGCAGCTCACATCCAACTGCAAAGGACATTCCACCTGACTCTGAAAGACCCCTTTGCCCGGAGACTGGACTGGAGGAAGAGCTGCGGGCCAGGGAAGGATTCTCGTGGCTCTTCCCCTCTGACCCCCGCACCTCAGGTGTATCCGCCTCATGCTCACATACATTAGTTATATTTATATATTCATATATATTATAGTTATATATTAAAAAGAGAAAAAAACTTGCCCAAAGAGAAACTCCTGAGGGACCCAAATGGCCCAGGAAGTTTACTGTCCCCCCACCCACAAAAATTCTTTTATAAAATCTTCCAGTGCGATCTTCAGGAAACCCCAAACCTCCCCAGCTCCCCCCTCCCTGACCCTCTTGTGTCCCCACAACCCCAGACTGCCCCCCACTCCAGCCCAGCACTTGGAGGCATCCAGTCTCATCTCTGGCCATCCATTGCTGCCATGGCTTTCTGCTGGGCGCCCCCCTGCTGTGCTCCAGGGGGCCACGTGGGCTGTGGGCAGTGGAGGCGGTGGAAAGAGGTTGGGGAGGAAGGCGGGATCCAGTGAGCCTGGTGGCTGGGAGGGGAGGAGGCCCAGAAAGGACTGAAGTTTGCAGGGGGTGAGCAGGCCACCGCAGTCATGGGACTGTTGCTGCTCTGCAGGCCCTCGGAGGCGCGGAGCTTGGAGAACATGGCCAGCGCATCGGGGAAGTTGGGCGGTGTGGCAGGTGTGTTGCTGGGAGTACACATCTGCAGGGAGAGAAGAAGGTGTGAGGAGGGCTGCCTGCAGGGTCCCAGAGCCCTTTACTCCCATTGCTCAGCCCACAGCTTCAACAGGATTGAAGCACCCTCTCTCCCCTCCAGAGTCAATAAAAACAAAAAACCAGGGCAAACACATAAATCTCGCCAAAGCCAAAGGGTCATCCTTGGAAATGACACCAAGGGTATCAGAAAAAGGCTGTTTCTGACCTGAAGCTACAGTGAAGGGACAAGGAGTAGTGCAGGACAGCATTAACCAGAAGCGCTAAGAAAAATCAGCCGGCTCCCTCCGTCACCCATCCTCAAGATGTTCCCAGGGTGCTGGGTAAGAAAGAACAGCCAGCTACAGAAAAGCTACTCTCATGTTGGGTTTATTCCACATTCTCAGTCAAAAAAAACCCTGGAGCCCTCACCTCCAAGATCTTACTTCTCACAAGGAGGCCTGGTTGGCTGAACTAACTCTTTCCATATTGTAAACAAGTAAACAGGCTCAGAGGTCAAGTCATGACAGAAAATGCACTCAAAAGCAGGGTGCAGTTGAGAAGGCCCGTTCCAGGCTCCCAGGTCTGCAGGCTCAAGGTCTTAACTGTGGGAAGGCCACACTCTGCTGGGCCAGAGCTTCCCAGTGCAGCATCCAGATTTGGACTCCCTAATTCTGGAGTCTCCAGCCTCATTGCCTGCCTGTCCTTGCCCAGAGGCTGGCAGCTCCCTCTTATGGGGGTAGTTCCAAACAGTCCAACAAGAGTAATCTTCTGCCACTGCCCTTGGGGCAGGGAACAGGCAGCCTAAAGAACAAAACCTACACAAACTGGTTCTGACCTCAAAGTCGTTTCTCCCTTTCCCAGGAAGGCATGGGAGTCCTTCTTTGAATTTCTCCTAATTTTAGTAACACTGGCCCCACCCCCAGGCACAGGGCTGAGGTGGGGGCAAGACTCTAGGATTTCACCATGAAGGAGGAGGGCTTGCAGCTCTGTAGTTAAACCTAAGGCAGAAACTGAGAGGAGGACCCCACCCCACCCTGGTCACAGAGGCTG